TCTAAAGAAATAGTTGATTTTACTGATTAGGTGCGCTGCGTGAACTTAGCGCACCTTTTTTTAAAAGTCTATTTTTTTGTATTTAATGACCGGAACTATTTAAAATTGTTGCATAGAGCTCTAGAACTTTTCAAGAGAGTATCAGAACTCTAAAAAAAATGTCACATTTTTAAATATGGTGTGCCAAGTTCACACAAGTGAAATCTTGTCTTTTATTTCCAATAAATAAGTACAAGTCTTATTCTTAACAGAATTTCTCTTTTATTAATAGGATGTCCTATTTCAAGTAAATATATTTCTCTCGATCCAACAAAATTTAGATTTCTGATTAATAGTTTACTTCAATAAAAGAGGAATACTCTTTTGACAAGAATTTTTATTTAGGATATGAGATTACAGGAAATAGTAGGAAATAGTATCTCTTGCAATTAGATTTCTTTTTTAATATTAGAATATTTTTCTTTTGGTTTTAGGAAATCCTCTCTTACGGTCATATATAAATATATATTTGCTAAGAATAAGACCATGTTTTTTGGAAGAGTAAATATATATATGTTATTAGTACCCATTACCTATACATTTTTTATTTTATGAATATTTTTTTTCGATATACTGACAGTCTATTCCTGCGCTACTAAAAACATAGTAAAATTGGAAAAATTTTATATAAAAAAAACTAATATTCTTTTCAAGTGTGTGTGCGTGTGTACGCGCACGCGCGCGTGTATGCGTGTAATCCATTACGTCCTTCTGCTACGATATTCTGTGCTACATATCAATCATACCTATCAGGAAAGGGTAAGCAGGTCTTTGTGTGAAATTAAATTTTTAGCGAGAGACAGATTCGACGATATTGAATATCAGCGTGGTGATAAATCAGGAATATGGTTACACGTTTGGTAAGATGTTTCGCGTCTTAAAAAAGAGACACGTGCGCCGCGTGTCGATTTTTATTCGAAGCTTCGAGGTCGCGGCAGATATATCCTTCGAATAAATTTGAGAGTACGATCGAACGAGAAAAAATTCTCGCGCTGTTCTCCTCCCTTTTCTGTTTTTCTCTTTCTCTCGTCTTTTTTCTTTGTTGTTTCGAAGCGTTGCGGTTTTACGGGGCAAATAAAATTGCACGTGGTCGCCTATGCCCACGGTTGCGGTGCGACATAAATTAAAAATTTCTGACGCTACTCCATCGGTCGACCAAGAGAAACGTTCTACGCTCGAAGACAAAAGGTTTCTGCATGGTCGTCGTAAATACGGGTTTAAGCGCGGCGCGCATTACTTAGAGCCGTAATAACGCCGAGATACGAAAAGCCTCTCGTTAATACGAGCCGCCGTGCGCGACGTCGCCTTGGCGTAAAAGGTCGAGAACAGTAGTGCATCATCATGCGCGTTGTCTGCCGGAAAAGTCACGAAAAGTTGCCTTTCAGCCAACGCCACGCTTCCCGTGCGCGCGCGAGCGTGAGATTTACTAAGGACAATTTTCAGCGAGCGCTTGTTGAAGATACACAAGAGCATGCTTTCGCTGTTTAGACGCTGCGTACGATCATTGTTCCCGCTCGTATATTTCGCGAACGTTCAACAAGCTGCTCGTACACGTCCCACGGTAGACTCGTATTGATTTTTCCAAAGCGCCATTCTCTCTCTGATGACAATGTCGAAACCGTCCTTGCAAGGGTACGGTAACTTTCGAGCCGGTGTAAACGGTTCGAACATCAGACTCCTTTACCTCGATTGTCAGAGCCGCATGTGTTCCGCGTCGCTCGAGTCATTACTCATTGAGCGTTCGAGAATATCATTATTTCGTGAGGCTTTGCGTATTTCCCGGGGCGATTTCGCGACTCTCTCTAATAGGGCTACATCACAACTTTAAAGAGCCCCGCTGACACCGCAGGTAGACGGCAAATTCGAATCACGTGTCAGAGTCAGATGCGTCTGATAAGGGTTGAAAGCACTTTTGATGGGGTCGGAGGAGGTTCATCTTGAAACTTGAAGACGGGCTAGGATTGAGGAAGGCAATGACTGGGGAGAAGGGGGCAAGTTTTGGTAAATCGTCCGATAGGAAAGTGGGTACCATTAACGCGCAAACAGAGCGATTATAATTTCATTTGTCGTAATTATAACACAGTTCTTACTTTCAACCTCTCATTTCAAGTTTTTCCTCAAACTGCTTGTTCTATTAAGATTATCTCCCGGGATAGAATCTTGATAAAAGAAATGTTGGTTGCTCGTAACATCATTATCACGAGATTTGAATGTTTTACTTTGCTTAAAGAATATGCAGTTTCACGCAAACGACTCTGTTCCGATCATAAATGGGGAGATATTAAAATGGACGGAGAAAAAAAACACTAGGGGTATCACTTGGCTAAGTATGACTGCTGTAACAAAATATTTATGTTACTTTTCGCCAATGCATACAAAATGGTTGTAGAGACCATAGCACTCTGGAAATGGTACACTAACCTTCTTTGCTGCTTCTTCGTAAGGTAAAAGTACCAATGTCTGGACAGGTATCTAATCCTAGAATTTTTTAAGTATAAATATTGAAATCTTTAACACAAAGAATACACACACACACACACACATACACACATATAGACATATATTGAATATATACATATATTCCATGTTGAAAATTTATATTTATAAATATAAATTTATATTCGTATTTGAATACTAAAACAATAAGAATGTCCAGGATTAGGTATGTGTCAGGGAATTAGTATTTGTATTTTACGTGTTTGAGCGGAACTGGCGATGCTGCATGGCGCTACTCTTTAAAATACAATCAGTATATTTTTCATTGAAATGCTATATTTATAATGGGTGGTTTAGTTATAACTATAACACTGCAATCACAATAAATCCCGCCGAAAAAGTCAGTTGATAGTAGCAACTGTTCCTGTTATTGATACAATTTGCAAAACAGTGTGATTGTTTCTAAATCGTATGGAATTTGTTTCTAAATCGTATGGAAGTTCATTGCCAGAAACACAGAGAATTGAATTTGGCACAGTGTATAAAGAAGTTATATATTATATATTTTGCAGTGAAATCTTAGTTTCGTTGGCTAGTCAAAATCAGTGGGAAATCAGACGAAATAGTAAAGTGGGAGTGTTTCCACTCAAAATCAATAAAATTATTGATGAAATACTTCTTTTATTGATTCAATCGGACATATTTCTGTTGATTCATTTTAAGAGAGTACGG